CACCCTTTCTGGTACTAACTGCATACCTGGTCACACTCAACCAGAATACTCCAGCTCTACAATCTGCACAACTAATGAAACTCAAATTTTCAAAACATTACTTTTGTACCTTTAATATACATGAACTGGGGCTGGTTTCGTCTCCCCAGCTCACAGTTTTCATGACATTTATAGGAGCTTGCTAGCTTTGAGGTCAGATTTCCCATTTCAAATCTGAATCCAACAAAGTAAAAACAAATCTGACAAAGGCAAGTACCCAGAAATGTTACCTAAGCTTTTTTTTTTCATCAGAAAACCAAGCTGTGAAGAACATTAACCCCTACACCCAGAATTAATACAGCCTAATCTTTTTTACACAGCAATTCAACTTAGAAACTCTGAGGAAGCCTCTAAACACAAAAGTTAAGTCAAAAAGCCGTGAGAACAATTGCAAGAGGCTTGCATAAGAAACTCAAGGGCTGAGCTCCCTAGCAGAGAAAATACAATTATTAGAGAGAACCGAGGATGCTCCACCCAAGCAGAGGAGCTGGCAAGGAGGGCAGGGCAGTAGTCTCAACCCCAAAATAAGCAGTCCCACACCAGTACCTGGTGAAGAGCAGATGTTGGTGACAGCAACCAGGGTCAACCACACTCCAGTCAGGTTTAAGGCCAAGACAGTGGGGCTGAGCAAGCAAAAAGAGCCTGATCTCTAACACAGCCCTCGTGGAAAAAGGAGCTTCAGGCTTTTCCCAGCTCTGCCTCATCACCCAAACACCTGCACATCATCAGGGCAGCCCAAACCACTGGAGAACAGCCTGGGGGCACTTGAAGAACCCAAGATTAATTAGCTGTTGGAAATTACAAATAAGAGTCAAGGGGTTTAATTCAGCTCATAATAAGCCTAAGCAGAAGCATGGTCACACTAAGGTACCCCCTCTCTCTGGATTTGACAGAAATAAACATTGTTGAGTCTGGAGCCGGCTGCTCCCAGTCGATGTTCCGAGGCATTTCTATACCTGTCTCCATTTCCTTTACTAGAGTTACTTAATTTAAAAACCTTTAAATCATTTTCATGGATATTACTTCTGAGCTCTCTGTAGCACAAAATGATTACAAAACACAAAAAAATGATGAATGCTCCTTTTTTTTTTGCAGCCAGAAGGCTGCTGTGTTTATGGAGGGAAGCATTCATAATGTAAAGCACTGTAGAAAAAGAATTTGTTCATATTATGCCCCCGTCGTTTGCTTTTCCAGCATCTTTGAGTTATGACGAATTCAATAACCACTTTTAAGTATTAAACATTTAACACTCCAGACGAATGTAAGTCTGTGGCACCCTCTTGTGTTCAACAACAATATATCACTTTACTGGATTTTATCTCGATTCAATGCTTTTGCTCAGGAAAAACCTTTGGCAAACAAATTAATCCATTAAGTTACAAGTAACACTTTTTGTGTTAGTCTGATATTCTGATTGAGCTACCTATATTTTATTGTGAAGACCACAGGCACCATATTAAACAGCTAAGAAATTAATTCCAGAGAGAACTGAATAAAGGATTAATAATTTACAATATATATACCTGATATATTTAAGATACTGGGCACAAGTCCTCCATTTAAAACACATGAAACAAATCGAAAATCAAGCAGTAGAAACAAAAACATGTCAATAAGCAAGATCAATAGAAGGAAGAACATGTAGTAGGAAGTAGAACTTGACAGGTGGTGATTACCCTTATTAGATTCCCAGCTAAACAACATCCTGTGGCTTAGTGAGGTGCCTGCAGATATCCTGTGTCAGATTCCCGTGAGTGCAGGTGCCTCCCAGGTGGGAAGGCTGACTACACTGCTGTTGAGAATATGCTCAGGTACTTCAAGCATGCCCTGGCAGAGGATACACACAGAAATCAAAACACTGATTCATTTCTTACAGCTGTACCAACTGATTATACTCAGCCTCTTCTGTTCTAAGCCACAGAGTTCTATTACTCCTGGGTGTCAGGAAAAAAAGAAACATGCTCACAAACGAATTCCTGAATGAGCCGAACAGAACGAAGGTGAGCACAGGGAAAAGAGGTGAGGAAAAATAGGACAAACTGATGATTTTCTTGGGTTGGTGACATAAACATTTACACACCTATTACTGTGGGAGAAGATTGATAACCTGAACTGCTTTACATTCCACTACTTCATAGCAATAAAACACACCAAAAAGTATTCAGGGAGATGCACAGATACAGCTCCAGAGCTCTTCTCTAATTGACCCTCAAATAAAGGTCTGTACATGTAGCTTAACCAGTCTGCTGTTCATCATTTTCCCAAAGATATATCTGGCTGGGGTCCTCCAAAAGTTCAAAGGTGAAGAGATTTGGATGATCTACAGTTGGTGCAGCAGCATTATAAAACTGTTTTAAGATCTTACTGTTACCAAAAAAAAGCCCTTCCGCTTCCAAAGAGGAAATACTGGGGAACTGATAGTAAAAGGAGAAGAAAACCAGAAACAAAGGCAGCCTTATTCTACACCAAACCCTCAAGTGAAAGCAGTACTTTTCAAAGTGGTGTACTGGTTTTGGCTGGGATGGAGATTTGGGGTTTGTGGTTGGGGTTTTTTTGCCTTAGCTTGCTTGGGGCTATGTTTTGAATTTGTGTTTAAAACAGCCCTGATAACACACCAATGTTTTATTGTTTATGCAATGTCAAGACCTTTCCTGCTTCTCACCCTGGCCTACCAGCCATGGAATCTGGGGGTGCAGAAGCAGCTGGTGGAAGAAGGAGGTTGGGGATGTGTGGAATGATGCCATTTGTCTTTGGAATTTTTCATTTCATGGCATTAGATGCAGGAAAGCAAGTGAAGCACAAAGACATGGATTTAATTCAAGGAGGGGAAGGGCAGGTGTAAGTAGGGACATTTCCCCATTAATTCTAGCAAGAATGAAAGATATCAGAGAAACAGTAAAACAAGAACACTGAAAAGAGAGTGCTTATATGAAAGAGAACAGGAGGGAGAGAATAATTCTTGGACATGCAATAAATAATGCTTGACACCACTCATCAAAAAAATATTTTAATTTTAACAAAAGCCCAGCATCATCAGTCTCACACATCAGAAGTTACAGGGTTACATGTAATGCATTCAGGTGTCCTCACAGAAAGTATTGAGTCCATGACAGAGATTCAGTTGAGTTTTCACAACTGTCGTACCTTATATATATTTTTTTTCAATTTCACATTAAATATCAGTGTTACCTATTCAATAGAAATGGTTTCTATATTCTAAGTTTTTTAAATCCTAAATTAGTCTTAAAATAGTAGAACAGAACAGTAGAACAGTACCAAGTGGCTTTTTTCCCTTATGAAGAAAGAACTCTTAATAAGTTATATAAAAAATACTTTCACAAATCATCCCAGTATCTGAGAAAAGGAGTGATATAACAACAACATTAAGATATAGGGATCTTACATGACAAATCCCACTGTTCTATATATCAACCTCCTCTAAGGAGTCTAAATTCTTTACTCTAGGTCAACTAGGTAATATTTGCTCACTGTAAAATCAACTTGTTTCTTCATAAATACTTTTTAGTGCTGGTGAACTCAGCACACATCAGATTGGAGAGGATGTTAAAAAAGGGGTTTTTTGTGGTTGGGTGTAACTTACTTTAACACAGAATTAATTAAGCACACCTTTCATTAATTTTCATTCTCTAGAAATCATGAATCATTTGTGTCAAACTGTATTGCTTCTTTTCCACTTCTGGGTTACTAATCCAAAATTGCTCTTGAAGGCTTCCAGACCCCAAAATCTGCTCAGTTCTGCTGTTGAGGGGAACAAAAGCTGAAGAATTGCCATTTGATCAGATTAACAAAGCTGAGTGTTTCAGAATCTCAATCAGAAAACATTTATCCTTCACAACACTCTGACTGAATTGACAAGACAGAATTTATCTACTCTTCTTGAGTCAGATATTTTAGGTACTACTGGTCTGCTTCTATTACAGAGTCAGGGCACATAATCAGCTGAGGAATTACCAAGAACTCATCCTGAGGTATAGGTACAGCTGGCATGAACACAACTGTATGCTACAGCACATTCAATAAAACAGAAAAATGGCTCAAAAAAGTGAGTTTATCAGCGAGCAGAGAAAATTCTTAACAGGATTTGGGAACTCAGCACGTCATTTGCTACTGTAATACAGGCAATGCTTTCCATTCCATCAGCTGAGCCATCCTGTAGAACTTCACCATAAAATTCTAAACTAAACTGGTATTAAAAATAAAATAATATTGGAAAGTGCTCAGAAACATTATTTAACTAAGGCACTTTAGAACTGGACTAATTTTTTAGATTCCAGTAAACACATTTCTGAATGCACACTGTCAGACACCTTTCCAAATTCACATCCAGTGAAAAAAATTATTGCTTATGCACAAAGGTTTTTCATTGTGACATGATTCAAGTTAGTGAAAAGTTAAGTCTGCTTCATAAGGGTAATACATGCTCATTAACAATGCAAGGTGTTTGATTTATGACATTATTAACTCAGCTCTACACTACATAGAAAAAATTAATCTTTCATGAAACAGGCAAAGTCAATCATTTCCATATCAGCATCACCAAGGATCTTCTTCCACCTACAAGGAGTAAGAATAAGAGTGAAATGAATGCATAATTCATGCTGACTGTGCTAAAATATATCTGAAAGTTTTGAAGACTTGGTTTTATGTAGACAATAGAAGACAATTCCTCTACACTTCAAAATCATAAGGACAGATTCAACAGCAATTTTCTTTCGGAAGTATCAGCAATATTGCTGCAATCCCATTAATACAGCTTCAGAAATGCTGAAGAGTCTCACTACTATTAATTATTAGACCAAAACATCATCTGTCTTGCAATGAATTCAAACAGAAGACAGTGACAGTGCCAATTCTACAGGAGGCACTCCTCCTTGTTAACAACAAGAACTTTACAGATGTGAAATATAATGAGAGTTAGCCATGAAAAACTTCAGTACTTACTAAGGCTTGACACTGTAGTACTCTTCTGGTGTCACAATTTTCAATCCACCAAAGTAATCCAGGACCCAAATATTGGTGATGTTGAATTTGGCAAAGAACCAATTATGATCCTTGGGCCAACTTTCCATTTCAGGGTGGCGACTGAATAATGCTTTTTTGGCTAAGTCTGCTTCTGAATCATTCACCTAAACAAAAACCAGGAAAATATTACAACAAGATAGTCATGTAAAGATGAGTTTTAGCTAAAAAACCACTGCTGACTGCAGTGTGGTTTTTCTAGTCCAGCCATGTCTTGTCCCAAGGGGCTCATTACTGTGGCTGAGGCTGCTCATCTTCAGTGTGGTGTGCAACTGTGTGAGGCAGACAACACTTACAAAGCAGTGGATTTCAACATTAAATCAAAATGCTGCTTTTAGAGAGAGCAAGAGAGTATTTCATCAACATAAGAATAAATCTTTAAACAAACCACAAAACAGAAGTATGGATGCTAGGTGAATTATTATAAAAGTGATGTCTTAGGTGTAATTTCACCTCCTCTGCACCTGCTCATTCAACCTGACAGAAAGAGATACAACTGTGCTCAGACATTTGCAAACACACAAACAAACAGGAGGGTACAACAGAATCTACAGAGAAGGGTAGCTGAAAAGTGTGATGCCATTTAATACACAATGTGCAGATATTTAAAGGGTGAAATCAACAGTTTAGAGCTCTGGGTATAGAATAAGAAAAACCACCTAAATAAAATCAACTCCATTATTAATGAGAAACTCAGGAAAGCAACTACAAGACTGCTGAGTGCAATGTGCAAATATCAGAGCTGTGAAAACACCAAATACGAATTGAGACACATAACAAAGAGTAGTGATGACTAGTTCTCATCCTCAATCATTGCCCCAATAATAGGATTAGGATCGTCAATGAATAACACATGCAGTTCTCAATTCCTCCTACAAGACACCAAAGTACTGGAGCACAAAAGAACACTGCCCTGGGCCACCAGATCACCCAAGGCACACTTTTTTGGCTGTAATACCTGCAACTTTGTAGCTCAGGTTAGTATTTATTTCAGCAGAGTTCCAGAAGCAGGCATGTCACACTGCTTGAACCAAAGAATTTAACTGAGCAAGAGAGATGGGAATGAAATATGAAGGTTTTTACAAAATAATGACCTCAGACTTCTTAGTTTCAGAACACATTGACAGGAATGAGGGAGATCTGCATTACTGTCTCCCCAAATTCCTTGCTAAAGGCATGTCAACAGAGCCCCTGCAAAATTCAAGGGTTAACTTTTTTTTCCTCACACAAACTACGAGCTGGCCTTTGGGAATCACAGCACAGAACACCTCAGCATATGCTTCTGCACAGAATTTCTCACCTTTCTCCTCTCCCTCCACTAAACAAATCTGTATTTGATGCACACAACCTTGCCCCGTGTCAGCTTTCAGCTGCTTACCTTTACAATGCTCCCAACGAAGATGATGTGGGCACAGAGGGGGTTCTGGGGATCATATCTGTGCTTCCTGCAGTAAGGAGTCTGTGCCAAAGACACAGTCAAGGAGGCGTTTGAATTGACCTGAAATGCAAGAAGTAAGAGAAGAGGTTTAGGCTTACCTTTCTTATGTGAAAAAAATGTCATACCCACCACATTTTCAGCTCTTGGTACTTTATTCACCTCAGTAATACTGGCAAAAAGAGCTGTCATCACTTTTTCCTAACTATATCTGAAAGGCTCCTTGGGTGAGCTCTGAATCTGAAATAAAGCCCAGTTCAGAGGTGTGCTGAAACTTGTTAACATAAAATGCAAACATCACACAACAAAATTTAAAACTCTGAATTCAGCCCGCCTATTTCACACGCAAATGATGATATATTACAATTTACAGACACAAAGGACAGTACAGACAACAAGGACATACAGTGAACATCATCAGGTAAATTCTGGTGGAAGGGCAAAGTGTTACTGAGAAGGCAACCAACTCAGCTTCACAACTGTTGCTAAAATTACTTAAAACAAAAACAAACATCTCTTCAAAACAGCCTCCCAGCTCTCCCAAACACCTCTTTTGGCATTTAAAGTGAATTTTAGAAGTAAGATTTTAAAAAAAAATCGGAATATTTAAGTGAAACACCTAACTTGAAGAATTCAAGAACGCATATCTGATTGTTTTTCTAAAAACTAATTTGGTGACCATGGCTTGAAAAGCCAAACAGGATTGCAGAATGCCACGTCCTAGGGGTCATTATCCCACAGTAAGGGAAGTTCCCCTGCTTTGAGAAGTTTCATCAGAAGGGCTCATGTCCAAGAGAAACCCTCCACAGTCACTTGGACATTTCGGAGAGCACCGGTGACCTCGTGAAACAGAAGCAAGCACTTGAGAGATAGGAAGTTGCTTAACTCCCAAAAAGCTGACTCACGATTATTCGGCACCTTCTCCCCTGCCTGTGACTATCACGTGTCAAGAGTTTCTGCCCTGAAGCAGCAAAATAAGGACCTGTGAGGAGCCTTCTGAAGGAAATATTCATTACCAGTTTATACCGTGGGTTTTGTGTTATTTGAAAGCAAACAGCTGTATCTGGATGGAAAGAAAGGTATCAGGCAAAATAAATTAGACTCTCTACAGCACTCAGACGTATAATTAAACTATTTTAAGGTAACAAACTAAAGTCTGACAGGGAACAAACAAAAAATGATAAAACAGTCTGAAATATTACCATTATTTTGTGTTGACTAATACTTTAAGTTACTAAAACAAACAAAATAAAGGAGGCATACAACTACTATTTCTTTAAGTTTTGAGCAAACTGCTCACCACAAAAGCTCTGGTACATGGCAAATTACACACTCAGATTCTCAGTGTGCCAACACTGCCTTTCCAGGTGTGCTTCCCTTTATGGTAAGCACCAGAGATTTAATAACTATTCCTTCAGCAGGCTCTGGAAGAATTCTCTTTGCTTAGGTCCTACACTGACAAGTTCCAGTCCTTTTGACTGTTTTGTGTGTGAAATGTTCAAATGTTCAAATATTCTGTGGCACCTCATTTCTTTGCTCAGTGCTTCTGGAAGCTGCAGACACCTCCTCTGCCTGGTGCTGCCCTTTCTGTCTCAAGACCACGATCAGCAGGAACTTCTCCTGGCTGTCACCACAGACAGCACTGCTCAAGGGCTAATCGTCCCCAGGGCTGTCAAACGGGGCGACATCCATGGAAAAGCCATAAACCAAAACACAGATGAGGAAGAATTTTACGCGGAGGGTGGCAGGGTGTTGATGATTCCTCTCCGTGTGTGGAGACACGAGGCTTGACTCCATTTCAGAAGGCTGATTTATTATGTTAGATATTATATTAAAATGCTACATTAAGACTATACTAAAAGAACAGAGAGATCAGAAGGCTACAACAAGAACAAACAGAACAGAATAGAATAACAAAAATCCTGTGACTGCTCACAGCCTTGGCACAGGTGGCTGTGATTGGTCATCAATGGAAAACAATCCACATGGACCAATCATGGATGCACCTGTTGCATTCCACAGCAGCAGATAGTAATTGTTTACATTTCTCTCCTGAGGCTCTTCAGCTTCTCAGGAGAGGAAAAATCCCAGCAAAGGATTTTCTTAATATCATGGCTACAGCAGGGCACTGGACCAGCTGCCCACGGAGGTGCTGGAGTCTCCCTCTCCGCAGAGCCCTGCCTGGACACGTTCCAGTGTCACCTTCCCGAGGTGACCCTGCCGTGGCACGGGGTTGGGCCGCAGGATCTCCAGCGCAATCCCGTGGAGAAGCCCTGCGAAGCAGCGCTGTCACGCTGCCCTGCGGTCACCCCTTGCTGCCCTGAGTACCCCGCGTGCTTCTCCGGCTGCCCTCCGCGGGGTCGCTCCGCACCCCCGCGTCGCCGCCCTCCCGCGGCCCCGCTCACCTCCAGGTCCTGCACGGAGATCTCCATGTCGGTCAGGTACAGGTAGGGGACGCCGCTGCCGCCGCAGGGCCCGGGCGGGCCGTCGCTGAGGGAGAAGATGTTGGCGAAGGGGCGGCCGCGCAGCCCCTCCTGCGCCGACAGCGTGGCCAGCGCGCCCCAGTCGCAGCTGTGCAGGACGTAGCGCGCCATGCGCGCCGCCTCCTCCGGCGGCGGGATGGCCGCCACGGCCGCCAGCAGCAACCCCGATGCGGCGCACAGGAGCAGCGGCCGCGCCATCGCGGAGGACACGGACATCGCTCCCCACACGGCCGCGGACCGGGACATCCCGCCACGCACGGCGCCGGCCACCGACTGCCGGGCCCGCCCGTACCGCCCACCCACCCGCCGCGAGGGGCGGAGCCTCGCTCCGCCTCACCAATAGAAGCAGCGCTGCCCGCCCCTCCGAGCCAATGAGCGACAACCTCGGGAGGGACGAGCCACCACCCCCGCTGTCAGCCAATAGGCTTGCGAGGCTGGCGGCCCTCAGCCAATGAGAGCTGCTTGAGGCGGACGTTGTAAACAACCCCGAGAGCGCGGCGCGGAGGGGGCGGAGTCACCGGCAGCCCGGCAGCCAATGGGGGCCGTGCTGTGCGTCACCGAAGGGGTGGAAAAGACCCCAAAAGCGCCGGCTCCAGGCTGTGACCCAGCGAGTGGCCCTGGCCGCGGCACCGAGTGACACAGCCGGCCTTCCCCTGAACACCTCCGGGGACTATGACCCCAACACCTCCCGGGCAGCCCATCCCAGTATCTAATCACCCTTTCTGTGAAGAAATTCCTCTGAATGCCCAGCCTGAACCTCCCCGGCTCAGCTTGAGGCCGTGTCCTCTCATCCTGCCACTCGTTCCCGGGAGCAGAGGCCGAACCCCACCTGGCCATACCCTCCTTTCGGGTGCCTGTAGAGCAGTGAGGTCCCCCTGAGCCTCCTTCTCTCCAGACCGAACAGCCCCAGCTCCCTCAGCCGCTTCTCACAACACTCGCCTCCAGACCCTGCCCTTGACTCGCTCCAGCCCCTCAAGGCCTTTTCCGAAGTGAGAGGCCCAGAACTGGACACAGCACTGGAGGTGCGGCCGAGTACACAGGGACAATCCCTGCCCTGCTCCTGCTGGCCACGCTATTCCTGCTCCAGGCCAGCATGCCACTGTTGGCCTCCTCGGACCTCACCGCGCGGACCCCGTCCCACAGAATTCGCGGACAATCCCGTTTCCCTGAGGCGCCAGCGCGGGAAGAAGGGAAGGCGGTGGCAGCGCTGCCGCTGGCCTGCGGGGGGCGCCGGCGGGACGCGGCTCCCGGAGATGTCCCGGGATGTCCCGGCCGAGTCCCGCGGGTGTCCTGGAGATGTCCCGGGGTGTCTCCGCCGTGTCCCGCGGGTGTCCTGGAGATGTTCCGGGATGTCCCCGCCGTGTCCTGCGGGTGTCCCGGAGATGTCCCGGGATGTCCCCGCCGAGTCCCGCGGGTGTCCTGGAGATGTCCCGGGATGTCCCCGCCGAGTCCCGCGGGTGTCCTGGAGATGTCCCGCGGGTGTCCTGGAGATGTCCCGCGGGTGTCCTGGAGATGTCCCGGGGTGTCCCCGCCGAGTCCCGCGGGTGTCCTGGAGATGTCCCGCGGGTGTCCTGGAGATGTCCCGGCGGCTCCCGCCTGTGCCGAGCCAGTCTTCCCCCTCCGACACCCCCGTCCCGTTCTGCGGGCTCAGAGTGACGCGCTGTCCCTGGCATCGGCCCTGCTTTGTGCGCCTGGGGAAGCCTGTCACATCCTGGAAGTGTCCAAAACCCGCGTGGACGTGGCACTTGAGGACGTGCTTCGACGGTGAGCACGGCGTGCTGGGTTTAACAGGTGGACTCGGCCATCCTGAAGTTCTTTCCCAGCCAGAATGATTCTGTTCTGCAATCCAAGGGGTGGCACCATCGGCCCCGCTATCCCTGTCCACTCGGCCCCGCTATCCCTGTCCACTGCTGAATCAGTCTCAGTGGCTGTTTCTGTGCCACCACAGGTGTTTGAGGCCCAGCCTTCCCTTGGGAAAACCTTATCCTTTAATCACAGCAGCAGTGACTATCTGTTTTGGGCCACAGAGCCCACAGAATGATTTGCCACTAGGCAGAGCTCTGGTGTTACCTCTTGCACACTGCAGGGTGTATGGCAGAGCCCTTGCCTTTGCAAGGCTTGGTTTTGTTAGTTGAACACCATTCCACCTTCCACTGAAGGCTCTTCCAAGCATTCCTTACCCAAATAAACACTTAGCTTATTTTATTCATCACTTTGTGCTCAGTAACCTTATAAAGATTTGTACGAAGAGATGCTTTAAACTGGGTATTACTTGATTCAAGTGGTCCTAAAAAATGGTGGGTTTTCATATTTCCACCTGGATCCAAGTATGTCCACACTATGTAAACAGCAATGTAGCACTGAGAAAGCCAAATTAACTTGCCCTGTGACCACCAGGTGCCCCACAGCACCCACACCTTATGGCAGGCCAGATGGATCATCCTGTTGGGCTGAACTCAGCAAAGAAAACACACCACCCATCCATTCCCTGCTATTTATCTGCTGTTCTGTACAAGCAGAACAAAATAATTTTGCCTCCAGTATTCTCCTTGCCTGCAAAGCATGGTTAGAGATCCCTGCCTCCTCTCCAGGTCACATGGAGCCTTCTGCTGCTGCCTTCTCCTGGAGATGCTCAGGAGAAACTGAAATTTTCATAGAGAAAAAAAAAAAAAAGGATGCTCTAAACCCCTGATGTGCAGCCCCTGGGCTCTCTCACTTGCTCAGTTAGATTTCAGAGAAAGGAGAAGGATTCTCTCTGTTGTGCTGCAATAATGTCTAGGGGCTCTCAGCATCCTTGCATAACAGGGTCAAGAAAGTATTGGTAGGCACTACTAGTTCTCCTTTCCAAATCATGTGCTTCACTGCATTTAAAAGCCAGTAAATAGACAGTAACATCTCACCATAAATGGAGCCAAGTTTACTTCCTCCAAGGTCGAGTTCACGGAACTATCTTAATTTCAGTGTGTTTTATATGTGATGGGCTTCAGGCTGTGTCCCTGGAGAAGATATATTTTAGCCAGAAAGTGGGCAAGGTTTCCATCCTGGCATTGTGTCATTTTGTCATCCTGGCTTGTGTCCTGTTTTGTCTGCCCTCTTCAGAGCTGGTTTTCCCTGAGCCAGCTCTCTCTGCAGCCAGCCTGGTTGCTGCATGGGCTGGGCACGCTTTCCCCTCAGACACAGCCTGGCTGTGCTCTGCTCCAGGCTTCCTGTCTAGGTCATGCAGTCTGTCCGTGAACAGAAACCTTTCTGTGTCCAGATAACACTCGGGGGCTGTGTGTGCAGCGCTTGATTCCTGAGCCAGGCCCGCTCCCCGCATCCAAATGACAGCCAGGGTGATTAAAGTCACTTGCCGGGGTGATTAAAGTCATTGCCGCTGCCTGTGACAGAAGAGACTGACCTGTGAGTCAGCTCTGGCAAAAGCTGAAGTGCTCAGTGCTTTGAAGTGCCAATGCTTGCTGCCACATGAGACCCACCATGCAAATTGTTTCTAAAAATATTGGTTAGATTCTCTCCTGAGGAGGTGTCAGCCCTGCTGCTGCTACAAGTGGCACACAGCACAGACCTTCGCTGAGCAGAGAGGTGTTGCATGCTTGTGCATAAGACATTTATTTGTTCTCACCCTCAAACTTCCTGAATTACCTCGGCTGGGGATTTATCTTGTGACTCTTTGGTGTATTTTTTAGAAGATAGGCAAAGTTATTACACCGCTGGCCTGGTGTTCAGCCAAAAGTCCTTTTATTTTTTTAACACTGCACACAGGCAGTGGCAAGGCAAGCTTCCTCTGGGTGCAACCTGTTAGGGACCAGAAATATTGTTCCATTTTTAGTCAGAAAATCCTGTTCAGTCAGAGCTTGGGCTGCATGCTGAAGAAGCTGCTGGCGAGGGCCACTGCTTGTGATGCTGTTTTCTAGGACACTGAGAGATGGGCAGTAGGACTGGCCTGAGAACTGTTCTGACTGGTTCTGTTTGGTTCTGTTGATTTATATTAAACCTGGTGTACTAAAACTAGTAACTATAGAGGAATTGCTCAGTCTGGAAGCAAGCTGTCAGTGGCTCATGCTGATAATATTTGTTCCATCACTATGTGAGTACAATGGGATGCAGCCATGCCTCTTAACACCCCAGCTCAGTGTGTTCTCTGAAGTCAAGCAGACCAGGAGAAAGAAGAGCTTTCCAAAGACTTTCAGGTGCTGCAAGACATGACACCCTTTATCTGAACACCACCCACCAGCCCCTGTGGGACCAGGGTGATCCACCTCACTGTGATCTCATTATCTCAAGGTGAAATGCTTCCTGTGCCACACAGCATTTTTAACCTTTACTCTGCTTAGGGACAGGCTTTTGCCCAGAACCTGGCAATTAGGAAGCCCTAATTAAGAAGCCAGGTTAGTCTGAACCACGATGTCACTGCTCAGGTGCCAGCTGACAGTCAGGAGCACGTGAAATTACTCGGTTTTTAAGTTAGTCTCTACACCTACTTTTTTACGTGGTCACCACGAAAAGCACACAAACTCACATTCAAGTTCAGCTCAGTGAGAGCCACTTTAGAGCCACGTCCTTCCATTTAGCTCCCTTTGGTTAAGGAGACTTTCCCACTGACATCAATTCCCAGGAGTGCAGAGAGCCTGGCACGCCGGTCCGTGCGTCCGTGCGTCCGTGTGTCCGTGTGGGTGTTGGCACGTGTGTGTTTGTGTGTCTGTGCTCTCAGAAGCGCTGCAGCTGCAGGACCCGAGCACCAAAATGTCACTGGTACGAAGCGTTCCAGCTGAGTTCATTTCCTGCTGATAAGTCCCTGAAGAAGAGGGTGAGGCTCGGCGTCCGCGGCGTTGCTTTAGTGCTGAGGGCCACGGGCAGACAGCTCGAGGCACACTTAGCAAAGGGTGGGCTCAAAAAGAGAGTTTCCCACAGAAAAACGCTGCTCACGTTCGCTTCCTGTCGGGCTGCCAAGTGTCAGACCTGGTGTGTAAAGCCAAGACAAAACAGGATGTTGGCTTTTTGAGTTGATTAATTTTTGAAATGCAAATGTTGTTTCTTCGGTGGTTACCTTATCCCCCCCCCCCTTTTTTTTTTCTTTTTCAGTTGAGAATTGAGTTGCTTGAGTGGGAACAGAAAGGGCTGAGACCCCATTTTCAGGAGGTCAAAAGCCCAATATAGTAACAGCTGCTGGTTAGTGGTGTGAATTCCAGGAAAGGATGTGGGTAACAGCAGCCAAGGCCAGGCAGAGAGGTGGACAGAACGACCTCAGATACTGGCACTGACAGGTGAGCTGTACTAAAACCCTCAACAAATGTCTTGACAAAGCACAGAATTGCCATCTCCCTTGCAGGAGCCCACAGCTCCCTCCACCCTTTGCCCTCCCACCACCCTGACAAACATACCTTCTCAGATTTGGCAGCTAGGCAGACACACCCAAATGAGATAACTGCACGGACACAAATGCCAGAGACAAAGTTTCAGATGCCCTCCAAAGCACTTTTAACTAACTGTTTTTTGAAAAAAGCATAGCAATGGCTCTGCTCTCCTTTTTGTTGCTCCCTCTGAGCACCCTTCAGAGGCTCCATTCTCCATCCCTCATAGCCAAAATGCAAGAAGCCAGCAAATGTTGCCCATGGTGTTTCCAAGCATGGCAGAACCCCTTATGCCACCTGTTTTGAAGGAATGCCAGGATGAAGGAGTTCCTTGCCCCTCTCCCCCACGTGCTGCCTGTGGCAGGAGTGACAGTCATTTCTTCTGAAGCAAACTCACTGTGTTGGCCTCACATGTCTTGAAAAGAATCAGACAGGAAGCTGCAAAATCCAGGGGCCCACAACTGCAGCATTTTCTCAGTAAAATTAAATTTCCCTCCAGAGCCTGTTTGAATGGCATTAGTGATGACTATATTTTTTCCCCCCCGCAGAGCAGAACAGATGTGGAACTTTTTTTTGGATATAAGAACAAGTTAGTCTCATAGGCACTGCTACATCCCAGGTTTGTAAGCAGGGATATACAGAAGGATGCAGAATCATACTCAAAGATACCTCCAAATACTTGCAAATGCACGTCACGTGAAAAACCCAGTTTCTCCCTTAATAAGGTTTGTTTCAAAGTTCTTGCAGCTAAAGCATGTGGGTTGTTTGTTAAGATTTTCTAGTGTTTTTCAGTCCAGAAACAAGAGAGAGGAGAACAAATCCAGACCTCATGTCTTCTTGTCTGGAGAAAAACAGACACCATATTTCTGTACAGTCGCCCCTTCCTCCTTCAGGAAGGAAGATTTCACATGGAAAAGTGTCAAAAGTATGGACAAAAGTATGGAAAGTGCTCTGAGTACTGCATACCATGCCCAGAGCAATGGCATTTGGGAATCCAGCAGGCAGAAAAGATTTGCTTTGTGGCAAGATACTTGGAGGCAGAAATAAATGGAGTGGAGAATTGTGGTGGGGCAGCTGCAACGGCTTTTGCTTTACTAATATGGGTGAAGTGATACTGCCTCTCCCTAGCAGTTTCCTTTTCTGTACACCTAAGCAAATGGTTTCCTCTGCACAGCAGAACCCCTGAAAGCAGAAAGAAAATACTGAAACAGCCCCTGAGGAGCAGGAAACAGTCATGGGAGGTGTGACTTTGACGGTGTGTACATGGCAGATATCTTGAAAACAACACTTGCAACCCATGTCCAGTGAAATCCCTGAGCTTGAAATCCTCCTCCTTCTGTCCCCACAGCAGGCAAAGCATGGGCAGTAGAAGAATCCTGCCCTCCTTGCCTCAACCCTACTTCTCAGTTCAGTTTCTATTCCCTGTCCTAATGTACCATTGTCAGGACTTGAAGAAATCAGTAGGATTTCCAAACAAGTGGTAGTTTCATTTTCATATTTATTTGAGATTTTATTTTCTTATATCTACACTTGCAGCATCTTCTGGTTGCTTACAGCAGAGGGGTTTCATCTAATCCATCTAATCCAGTGTTTCAACAGCAGAAGATTAATTAAGTCCTCTTGCCCAATCTCCAGATTGCAAAAACTCAGCCTATCATTCTTTTGGCTAAGGACAGAGTGACTGCTGTATATTGAATGCGGGAGATAACTGGATGACAATTTAAATCTGCAAATTCCACAGGAGTCCTGCAGCGTGCGGGACAGCAACAGTTAACAGCACTGGAAGAACCGCTATCAGTAACAGGGAGCTGGGGTATGGTGATGCTCACATTTAAATCCACGCTGGAGCGTTTTTCAGCCACGGCCAGCAGGGACTTGTGAAACACTGCAAAGGAGAAGTACGCATCCCTTCTAGAAAACATGCTTTAACTCTCTTCTGCCCCCAAGGTATCCTGCCAAAATGACGATATGACATTGTGTCACTTTGCAGCTGCACTCAAAGCGAGGAAGCCAGCAGCAGACAAAGGGAGCGTTTCCAAATTCCTCTGCACCACCCTGCTCTCGAGAGGTGGGGACTGAAATTCTTTGAGAAGCAGCATATGCAAACAGTTGCTAGAAGAGATGTCCGGTTTACAACACTGTGGTCAGCGTGGAAAGGGAAACTGCAGCAAAAACAGTCCGGAGCCTTGTTTTCCCCCATCCGAATTTTTCTACCACCCTGGAAGCTTCTCACTTGGGTGCACAAGTCTGTCCATCCCTGCGAAGGGAGAGGAGAACAACCCGCACCTTCCGACCTGGTGGTGTGGGACACAAATTCAAGGTGGAAAGAGCCGGTCCTGCTTTACAGCTGGACAGTGACAGCCTTGCATGGGGACCCTCTGCTAGTGCCCACAATTAAGCCCTGACTTCCCTCTTCGGGATCACCCAGTGGATATTTGTCCTTCCTCGGAGGACAACGCCTTAAATTCTGCTCGAGCCCAATAATCACCCTCGCTCTCCTCCTATTCTGCCTTTCTTAAGACAGTTCGTTGCTGAGTGAAATTACCGAAAAGAAGGAAGAGAGGGGAAAGCTGCAGTCAGAAGGAAAGGGATTCTCTCCCCGCACACAAACAGGCAGGAGACCCTGGGAGAGGGAAGCGTGGACAGCGGAGAGATCGAAGCAGAGATACCAGTGCAGGAACTGCAAGCATTGGAGAGAAATAGAGACTAAACGGAGGGGTGGGAGGGGAATAAAGATAAGGTGATAGAAAATAGGAAGGGGGAAGAGAGAAAAACGGGAGAGGAAATGCACATGCGGTGTCCCCGAGTTTGGGCGCGGAGGCAGAGCTTGTTGCTTGTTGTCTCACGAGCCCGGCGCTCCGGGAAGGACAGTATCTGTTTAGATTTGTGTCTAAATTTAAACCCTGATTGCCTTGCCTCCCCCTCCTCTCCCCTCCCTCCCTCCCTTCCTCTCACCCACCCGCCCTTCTTCCTTGTTCGCAGTGCAGGGCCACTCGCCGGGCTCCGTCAGTCCGGGCTGAGCAGCAGCTGGGATCTCCCGGCCCTCCACGGCGGCACGGCTCAGCTTTTCCCGCAGATAACAGGGAAAGGGGTGGGGAAGAGAGATTGCCCCGAGGACACCTCTCTCTTGCGGGACATGGAGGTAAAGAAAACTTTTTTTGTTTCCACTAGCTTGTGACTGGCTCCGCGATCTGCTCTAGCTCCACCTTGCAAAGGGATTTCTCCCTGAAGGCAGCTTCAAAATATCTTTTTGCTGGGGTTCAGATAAAGGTCTCTTTTCCTCCCACCCCGACTCCTGTAGTGCACCTCAGACTCTTTGGCAGGTTTTAGTCCGGATTTGGAAAGCAGGGGGATGGTTTAGGAAGAAATTACCTCTGTGACAGGGGAATGAGGAAGAACTTCCATTTACTTATTGGACTCCGAGGTGTGATTGGAGTGTTAGATTTTGAAAGGCATCATTCTGAAAGGAGGTTTTAAGGAGTCATTAAGAATGGGGACATAAAGAGAACAAACCTTCCAAGCTCCTTGGGGTTGGTTCCTTCCCAACCCGTGCAGCAGCAGTTGTGATTCACACCCTCAGCCCCTGTCCCACGTGGATTGGGAGGTCTAATTTTCCTTATCAATAGAGATTTTGGGGAAGGGGAGCCGAGAACCTGTGTTTGAGTCAGGTAGATGAGTAGCACACCCCCAGAGGGTTTTCTGTCCCTTTTTCTCCATGCACCCTGTGCTCCAGGAGAGTTGCATCTCATGTCTCAGGGTGGGCACACGGCTGCTGGACAGGAGTGTGGCTTCCCTGGGGTTTATGTTCTCCTGTGTATCACCCTCTTGGGCAAGGCAGCTCACCTCCCTCTGCCTCCCGTCCCATTCATTCAGAATGGGAATGGTGCTGCTTGCTTTGGTCACGTCAGGCTGCATTTGTGAGCTTTTCAAACATTTTTTAAAGTGGCAGGGGAAAAGGAATTATTTATTTTTAGGAGGGGCACAGGAAATAGAAAGGTGATTACAACATTGGCAAAACCTCAAATTATGAAAGAGGACATTTGGTATTTCTCTCTGCTAAACAGAGACCTTACTAAACACTTTATATTATCTTCCCAGATAAGCCTTTTTTCTGTGTGGATGCAGCCCCAGTAGCAGGGGACACGCAACAGAGGCAGGGAACAGTGTGCTTCAAGCACCACTTCAATTTTTCTTTGAAGAATTCCAGTGCATAACTCAGCTGGGCAATTGTGATAACACCCAGATGCTAACATCACCATCCTTGTTATCTGTGCTGACCTGCCTCACAGGCAAGGGTTAAAGATTTGGCCTGTTCAGGTGTGTTTGTTACAAAAAATGCCCTCAGCCTAATTATCTAAATAGATTTTGGGGTGGAGAAGGATCAAGCCGTGGTGAAACCAGCTCAGCGCAGACTACTAACGTGACATGACAAATATTTGGCTTTAAAAGGGTTTTCAGAGCCTAGTTCATTCACTGTTAACACTTGTTTTATTCTTTTTCACTGTAGTATCCTGTAATGTTTCAGAGGGGAGGGGGAATTGAGCTCCTAATTTGTTATAATTTAGGGCTGAAACAGGTATTTTGGCACGTTGAGGACATTCTCCCTCACCCCCTCTCCTCTCCACACACAGAAGACTGTGCCCCTCACGTATTTTCTGTTGTCTCTGTGGAGTAGAAAGGAACACACCTGCCATTTCCTTTTTGGAGACACATGTGACACATGTGGGAGGTCTGGTGGCCAGGAAGCTTCTCTGAAGTATCTGACCTAAGAGCTCCCTCCTCTTGATTCTCTCCCTTTACCTCCATTTCCCACCTTTTCCTCGTGTTACCCGTTTTTGGGTTTTTTTTGGTCACCTGTAGATTGCTGAATCCATTCTTACTTTTAAAACATCTCATTTTCCAAGATATTTTATAAGTAGTGCGCTTGGTCCTGCCCCAAGCCTCCAAAAATATGTTTAATGTCCCAAAGGTAAGAAGATATTAGACTAAAATAGAGCCAAGAGCAAGAGCTTGATTTCTCACCAGCTGATTCTCTTCTCTGTTTCTTCCTGAGGGCTTTTCACGGGCAGGACACAGAGGCTCACCACAGACCTTTTGCTTTAAAACCAGATTTAATGATCCTGTGCAGCAGGAACGTCCTGTCATTTCCCTGTTTGCTTCATCAGTGGCAGGCAGAGCTGCTCCCAGCTTTCCTGCTGGCATAACTGGCAAGCTCTTTGCTCTAATGGGACACATGAGGATTACCAGCATTAGGAGGAAAAGGGCAGAGGGCTGACCTAGCCAGCTGATTTCCATCACGTCCCTGGCAGGAAGACCCTAGTTTTGAAAAACCCACAGAAGTGAGATAGTTGAGATCTCTTTCTTAACGGGGTTAGTTTCAGTTGCTGCTGCTTAGGGACTAGTACCTATGGTCCTAGCCATCCTGCTGTCAGGAATGTGCCACACTGAAAGCAGCAACTGAAACTATGTAAGATCCTAAAGAGGGAGAAAAAGGCAGCAAAACCCTGCCCTTGCAGTTCACGTAATTTTGTGATCTTCAGTGTTTTGTTTTGTTGTTTGGGGGTTTTTTTTGGTCCATCTTCTTGATGCAAAATAGATTGGGCAATCAGTTTTCTTTCCAGGTTTGTGGCAGATGAAAAGAAATCATGAAGATTATATCACAGATTGTTAACATGAGTTCATATAAAAAATGTGTAAAACTGCACTGGGGAAAGCTAAGCCACTTGTAAAGAAAAGCAGCCATGAAACACTGTTTGCACTCATGGTACAGAAAGTATTAGAAATTTTTGTGTTGGTTTATTAGTTTACATCTTCAGATTTGGCCCAAGCTGTCTAATTCCCATGGCTTGTGGGTTCCCAAACCTTGCTGCAGATGTTGTGAGTTAAGGCATCCACTGAAAGTGCTTGTGGCTTTCTGCAGCCCATATTCCACAGCAGTCATGGCATTCCTCTTCCCAGCCTCTCTGTAGGGGCTTGGGAGCATAGAGACACTTGAACTTTACTTGCACAGAGAAGGGAAACAATCCAAGACTGAATTTCCCTTGAGTGGCTCCCTATAGTGTAATGAGTTCCCTAAGCTGCAGGGGTGCAGAGGTGCAGCAGCCAGGTGTATTTTGGAAAGGCTCCCCCCTTCTTTGTGCCTGCCAACAGATGTCATTTAATTCTGTGACATCTCCATTGCCATGTCTCTTTTCTGCAATTACTCCTGCTAAATCTCCATTTTTCCTGTTGGTGCACTGACTCAGCAGAGGGAAAACTTTTCCAGGGCTGAGAGCAGTTCTCTGCTCACTTCACCCTTCTGGGCAACCTCCTGGGCAGCACTCACCCTGTCCTTAGGAAAACTGCACTGAGGAGACGTCACCCAAGGGAACCAGTTGTTGGGGATGCAGGAATGGGTACTGTGCAGACGAGGGGGCTGAGATCTGTGACCATCCTGGTCCTCAGAGCAGCAGGACAGGAGGTGAGCTGGGCTGAGAGAGGTCTCTGCCCACCCTTGCAGCTGTGGAGCCGAGATCACAAACAGGCATTACGCCATGGTTAGCTCTGCCAGGAAGCAATATCCCTTTCTCAGGAAGCTCTGATGATTTGCTTTCATTCTAAAAGTTAAAGTGTTCTTTTTCCCCTCTTCTTTTTTTTTTTTTTTTTCTTTTTGCTTAATAGACCAGTTCAACTTCAAATACACTTGTTTTCAGTGTTTCTTCTGAAACCCATCAAAATGACACATTCTCACAGTGCGTCTGTGAAAATAAAGGGAAGAGTATTTAAATATACTGGGAGAGGTACTATATGACCCCATTTTACCCCTCAGGTCTGGGCAGACCTGCCTGACAGTAAATAGCATGTCTGCAGCAGAGTGCTGGAAAGGATCTGGTCTGCCAGACTTCCACATCCCTGTGGAAGTGATCGAAAGACAGGAAACAGCAAAACCAAACCCCACAGGCTGTCCTGCAGCCCTTTCTTCCACCTAGCAGAAACCCCAGAATAAATGGAATTAAGGCTTTTCCTGTGTCACCAGAGAGACAGAATTCTTCTGAGCCTCTTCTCACTCCCCAGTTTGGTTGTCTGAGTTTCCCAAGCCATGGTGACAGCATTTTGGAAACGCCTTCTGTCCTGTGCTCCACAGTGTAATTGGCAGGATGCTTTGCAGTTGGGCAGCATGTCATGCATACCTTCTCATACATTCCCAGGAGCTGCTTATCTGAAGAGCAGGGGAAAACATCAGCACTGCTTTATCAATAGATGCTGCTTGGAAACTTACTGGCTTTTATCATGGAAATGAACCAGCCCACACAAACTGGGGTTGGTTTTCCATTCTGTTTCCACTTCGGTCTGTTAAGTGAGGTGTTTTAGAGAGGCAGATGCTCCTTCTCCTAAAACAACAACTCCACAGCCTGAATTTGGGACCTGAGCTGACAGCTGAACCCAGCAGCAAGGAAACCTCCTTGGGGGACCTTGTCTTGGTGCTTTGCAGACAGGGATGTGCCTTTAGCAGTTTGCAGGGCAGCAGGCATAGGATGAATGTGGTCTAGGGATGGCAGAGCTGTTGTGTAAGGAGAAGTTGTTATTACACACTCACCACAGAGTTGCTTCACGCCTGGTTGTGACAGAGGCACAGGGCACTTCATTCCTACAGAGTCTCACCTAGGCATGGATTTTAGTCACACTTCATGCAGGTCACAATGTATCCAGCTATGCAGTCTCAAGCCAGAAATGCTTTTACATCAAATCTGAGTTGTATCTTTATATCTTACCACCAGTATCTGGGTCCTGGTAATGTACTGGAAGGATAAGCCTTATCTACCCCATTAGTGCCACTTTTCTGAAAGACAGGAAAAGCAGCTGCACCAAATTCTTGTCAGATTGAAGCACATCACTTGCTGGAGGTGTTTCTGGAAGCCTTCTGCAAACAAAGACCCACACCTCACTTCCCAGATTTACAGCGTATTTACATGCATTGCTTTTTCTTCATTATTCATCACCAGATTTTAAAAGAGCTCAAACCCTACATGTAGTAGTTTGCCCTAAGTTCCCACACCTATACAACAGATAGCAAACTTGCAAGCTGGTTTTA